GAAGAACGGGGTCACCAGCATCTGGGCCTGTGGAGTCTGTGAAGGCATCACATGTAGGAACTGCAGTCATGATGCTGTTGAGTCTGAAGAAGACGTAGACGATGACTCTAGAAGCTTCTGACATGTGAATGAGAAACAACTCAGAGTGTTATATAAGGATGTGAAATAAATGCTGCTGTGGATGCAAATGTAAACGTGAGTGTGGCCTTTTTCAACAGTGGAGTGTTTGTGGTGAAATATGAACGCTAACAATCAGCTCAGAATCATGAACAAACCCTGATCTGACCCCTCATGAGTTACTGAAGGCCAGATTTTTAAAAATTGATTTTTCGTCAATCATTTATTGGTACCCTAACTTGAGCAGGTTTTTTTCAGGGTTTCCCACCAGAGTTGAACTTCAACATTTAAAACATATTATTACACCTTTACACACATGTTGGTGAAGAAACTGTTTGGTAACGATTTAGCTGGCAGACATTCATATGTTTCCTTTACTATTTAGCCGAATTCTAAAATATTTGATGCTATAAAAGGCTGTCGAGCAGGAGCTGTTCCAGCGATGCGATGGTGTCGATGGAGGTTATTGGCACTGGTTTAGTGCAGCAGCGTAATAACAGAGACAGTAATCAGCAGCCAGGCAGGTGGGATATAAAGACGTGATAAAACACCTTCAGAAACCCTCTGGAGACAAAACCGGCCTTGAGGTTTCAGCACAGACGTCATCAGAAACCACCATAAATAAATAAATGACAAAAGTGGGCCAGAGGTCGGCGTCCTGTCCGGCTCCACAGCAGCACGTGAGCCGTTTGTATTTTTAGACCCTGAATGGATTCGGCTCAACGAGTCAGAATGAGCGATTTTCAAAACGAGGCTCTGACGAGCAGAAAGAGGACAACGCAGGAACCGGGCTTATCTCGGGGCCGCACACCCAGAGGTCAGAGGTCCAGGCTCTTATCTCCTCCTCTGGCAGACAGGCGGAGAGGCCCAGCGGCGTAAATCAATCCCACCTCCGCTGTGATTCAAACAACGCGACGCCGGGATCCCACACAGTTTACGTTTCAACAGAGAGTAAAGGACGTTACGGAGCTGAAAAACCACCGCTCACGTCTCCAGATGTCTCGCTTTGGTCAGAACACCAGTCCAAGTACTGAGCTTCCCATCACTTATGGCAAAGAAAAGTATCAAAGCCTCAGATTTTAGACACTGAAACCATCAAATATTTGGCATTTTGGACTAAAACACTGTACGGCACCTACAGGAGGATTTACAGGATGGACCTGCAGACACATGCACAGCAGTCCTGCAGCAGCACAATCAGCAGAAAGGTGTCTTATATTCACTTAATTCTGTCACCAGTGCAAACACAAAACCTTCCATGTTCTGGTTCTGCAGCAGGACGACAAACTACAGCGACACGGACCTTGTGTTTCTGTCTTTTATAGCTTATTGTGATAAATCAAAGAGTCAAACTGGATGCTCTTGTTTTTAAAAATGGGTAAATAATGCTTAGAATTCAGTCTCAGATTCTGTTTAGCGTTTAATGATTTGTTTTTTGGGGCAAGATCTGTGGAATATTGTGGCTGATTTTTCAGTTTCATGAGTTTCCAGAGTTGGGAATGTTCGTATTTTCACCCCTAAATAAAACCCGTGAGGACATTTTCAGGGTTCAATATGTGCAGAAATAAAACTCCCACCGACATGAACCTCGATGAGGACACAGACTGAATAGTTACCAGCAGGTTAAACAATTTATTGGATTCAGTAGAGGCCAAATTTTTATTAATTATTGGGCTTTAAAATGGGAAAAAAAAAGTGCAAAATTTCCAATCGATGGTGGCGTCTCGTCCCTGGAAAGTTCCTGTACGTGTTTATATAAATGGATGGATCCATGTTTCTACTAAAAACACAGTCTTTGGTCAACGTTCATCCAACTGTTGAGGCTCTAACGTCAGCGGAACTTTATGTTTATTTCAGTTTTTTGCTATTTTGCCAAAATGTTGGACTTGTTGAAACACAAACTGGTGTTCAGCTTATCTATATGTTGTTGTTATTTGTGTAAAGCTGCTTCCATGTTGTCTTCATGTTAGAATTTAACCACATATGAGGCTCATTTTGCCTTCTCTGTGGTTTATGTACACATAAATTACTTTGTACCACATCTGGAAAATAAAAAAGGTTTTCTAAATCCAACTGAAAATATCAATCGTGCTGCTGTTCTTCAAGGATAACTTCTGAGATTTCTTTGCCTTCAGCTGATCTATGGAGTCACAAACTCATCTAAACATTTCTATCCGACTACATTTTCTCAGTCTGTTGCGTGTTTTTGTGTGGATCAGCTTCGTCTCCAACATCAACAAGCTTTAGTCACGTCAGCAGCAGCAGCAGCAGCAGCAGTTGGTGTTTCAACCTAAAACATATTAATCAGGAGCCGTTTAATCATTTTCTGTGGATGAATTATTTCAGCCCGGTCTGATTTTAGTTCCCTGCTTCCTCACGTTTACAGAAACAAACAACCAAACTATCACATAGACGGCGCCTCGGCTGTTATTTCAGGAGGAATCGGACGGACTCGGTGCAGTTTGTTTCCTCAGACAACAGCAGAGAAGCAGCTTATGTTGTCCTTTACAGACTGGACACAATGCAGAGCTGCTGCTCAGAGCCGACGGCAGGAGACCGAGGAAAGAACAACAGAGAGCAGCTTGTTTGAACGGGACTCCTGCTTCGGGGCTGCTCCACCCATTCAGGACACTTCTATGGACTTTAACTGGGCCGAGAGGCAGGAGAAGTCATCGGGAGACGATTTGAAATCCGTTAGACGGAGCTGACGAGGAGGTTTTAGCTCCGACTGACAAAGTGTTTCACTCTCACTTAATCAATAGTCGTTCTAAACCGATAAATGGTCACAAATTTGGCCCATTTGTCCATGTGTTTCCTACTAAACTACAGTCTTTGGTCGACATTTAACCAACTGTTGAGGCGTCAATCTGATGTGTGACAAGTTTGGCAAGATAAGGTTACTGTTTTTAGGTATTTTGACTGAAAACTTTATAACAAAATGTCCAAAAACCACATAAATTCTTCCACATTGACTCAAAATTGTTCAAAATGACCAAAATAAATAAATATTGACCCTTGAAAATAAAAGAAAGTGCAGAATTTCCAACCAATGGTGGTGCTGATCCCCAGAAAGTTCCTGTAAGTGTATATAAATATAAATGGATCCATATTTCTAACTATAAATCCAGTCTTTGGTCACGTTTCACCAACTGTTGAGGCTCAAACGTCAGTAGAACCTGATATGTGGTAAATATGACGAGACAGGGTTCCAGTTTTTAGATATTTTGACTTCAAAATTGTCCAGAATAACCTGAAACTTCCTGAACTCGTCTAGTCTTTGGTCGACATTTCATCAGTAGAATCTAATGTTTGGCAGGAACTATAAACCAACATTGCCCTGCTGTTGTGGACTCATTGGTAGGAAACACAAACTGGTGTCCATAGAGTCTATATGTTGTTGTCATTTGTGCAAAGCTGCGTCCATGTTGTCTCCATGTTAGGATTCAACAACATATGAGGCTCATTTTGCCTCAAACCCACATCAGACCTGATTACTTTCATCTCTGCAGCCTTCTCGAGTATAAAATCGCTCTTTTCCAGGCTCCAGGCCGGCTGCAGGCTTCTGCTCCTGTTGTTTTTGATGTCGCGGTGGTAAAACGTGGACAAACGAGCTCGGCTGCCGTCACTGAATCCAGCTCATTAACGGTTAATGGCTTGAGAGGACAAAGCCTCGGTGATCTCGGAGCAGCCGCTGGCGCTTGGCTCGTGTTCGCCGGTGTTGATATGGTGACAGAGGTGAGACCGCGGCACCCAGGTGTCCACGGGCAGAGCCGGGCGTTGGGCTTTGGTTTTAGCATCTACAGGATGTTTTAAAAGTCAAATGTCTCAGTGGAAACTTTACTCTCCAGACATGTTGACAAAACTGCTTTTTAGGAGTTTTAATGATCAGTTGTTCTACTGGTTGGAGGGAAATGGTGAGAAACGTCCGTCACCATCAAGCTGAAGTCAAGGCGACGTCTTGAAACCATTCAAAGGTCTTTTATGGACCATTTATTAATCATATTGTGTGTTTTTCATGAAATATTCAATACAAAATAAACCAAATCTGGACAAGCGTCCAGTCTGACCTCCTCAGAACCAGCTGGTTCTTTATCTACAGTAACTTTAGTATATTTACAATAAAGTTCTACCGTCAGACTGTGAAGTCCACAGAGGAAGCTCCAGATTGATCACTTTAATGGACTTTTTCCATCATTTCTGAGCCTCAGAACTTCATCAGTACAGCAGATAGACACATGACATTTAGGAGGAAGAACACATCTGAGTTCTGGTAGAACCTGATACCAGATCAGTTCTACATCCATCCAGGTGTCACAAAAAACATCATGATGCCGTCACCACCGTGCTTCATGGTGCAACAGCATCTAGTCTGATGGAGGAGAAGGTTCTTTGATCTCATCAGACCAAAGAACCTTTGTTCTGGTTCTGACCATTCACCAGAGAAAACTCTACAAAGTGCATTCTGGGTAAACTTTCAGGCTCATATCAGCATGTGTGATGGTGGTTGGTCAGAACCAGTTCTAGACAATGGAAGGACCATTTCTACACACATCTGATACCAGAACCATCTGCAGACAGAACTCCTGTCGTTGTTAACCTCCAGACCAAACACGTGGCTGCATCATTAACAGCTGGTTCTGTTTGACCAGATCCAGTCCAGATGTGAGCAGCAGCTGGATGCAAACAGAACATCTGCGTGTTTCTTAGTAAAAGTTCTGGACGGGTTTGCGTGAGAAGAAGAACAAGAAGAAGAAACGTTGTGAAATGACACCAAAAAAGCGACTTCCTCTTTTTCTTTCGTGCAAACCAGATGGAACTGCTCACTTCTGCTAATCAGACTTTCTACCGCGGGTTCGGTTCGGTTCAGTTCGGCAGCGGCTTACCTCCCAGCGGCCGTAGGTCATGAGGAACAGGGAGAAGGGGATGGCGGTTCCGGACATGGCGTGTGTGGACGGCATGCTGTACTCCGAGTTGTAGAACATCTCCACCTTGACCACCGGCGGGGAGGCGGGCCGGGACCAGCCGATCACGTCCTTGGTGCACTGGCCCAGATACATGACCCAGACCCAGACCATGATGAGCCGCCGGCCCACGAAGGCGTCCACGTTCCACATGATGAAGGGGAAGAAGGTGATGTAGAAGGACTCGTTGCCCAGCTCGGTTCCGAACGTGAACATGTAGTACAGGAACCGGTTCTCGACCAGGAACTCCTGCCCGGCGTCGCCCGTCAGAGAGTTCTTGCGGAGCGGCTTCACCTTCACCGGGGCTTCGCTGCCGTTCTCCCCGCGGAGCTCCGCAGCCCCGCCGGCCGTCTCCCCGCCGGCGGCCCCGTTCTGCGGGGCGCTGTCACGGCCATCCTTGGGGCTGAAGCCCGCCGCCCTCCTCCGGAGCTCCTCCGCCGGTTTCTCGCCTTCTCCGGCTCCGATGACGGCCGCCGTCCCTCCGTCTCTGTCCCCGGCGCTGTGATGCCGACAAGCCCCGTTGTTGAGCGGCTGAGTCCGGTCCGCCGTCTTCCCGCCGCCGCTCCTCGAAAACGTCCCCCGGACCCCGCAGAAGTGCTGGAAGCGGGCGACCAGATGCGGGTCCTGGAGGTATCGGAACCGCTCCCTGATGGTCTCCATGTTGGTCCGGACCGCCGGATCACCGACTCCGCTACTTTCTGTCCCCGAGCACCGATGCTAGCTGCGCGGCTAACGTTAGCTAGCCGAGCCGCGCATCCCGCCGGAGGTCGGTCAGAAGTGAAGCCCGGACCGGTAGCGAAGCGAAACGGGTTAGAACGGCGACCGGTGCCGTTTAAAAAACATGAAAAACGGCTTTCGGTTGGACTTTAGTGGCGATAAACCGAACCGGAGGCTGCTGTCCCACTCGGTCCGGATGCTGCGTTCAGTGTCCCGCTTTCTGCACTGACAGGTCCGCGGGCGCGCGCCTCGGCTGCTGCCTTCAGGGGCCGTCGGAAAACCAACGGTTTCTTTAACGTGCACCTTTTCTTTTAAAAACAAAAACAAACGAAACAAAAAAGAAAAATACAAAGATTTGTTTTTTTTAAAATACATATTTCTATATATATATATAATTATTTATTTAATTAAAATATGATTATTATTTATTTTATTTACGTATATTTAAATGTTTTAAAAAGATACATAATTATGTGTGTGTAAATATCTATGATTTTTAAAAATACATGAAATGTGGATGTAAAAGTGCAGTCTACATTATATTTATATTTTGCATGTTAAAAAATAATCATCTATTGTGTTTGTTGTTTTACAACTATACATAGACATATATATATATATATATATAGATTGGTTTATCTTATTGGTTAATAAAGCTCATTTGAATTTTTAGTACTAATTTTATGTGATCTTAAATCGTCCATAAAAAGTGATGCAGATGCTGTTGAGGAGAAAACGTCCCCAAAAAGTTCCATAAATGACACAAATACCTCAAATACTAATAATTAATTATGTTGTTGTTGTTGTTGTTGTTGTTGTTGTTGTTGTTGTTGTTGTCTATTACACATAATTAGAGTTTTTAAAAGACATTCTGGTTTTAATTCTAATTTTCAGACATAAACTGATTGAATGTATTTTGGACGTCTCTGTTGCAAAGTTATGCTTTAATACCATGGCTTCGTTTTTTAAAGTAGGTTACACTGAATGGTGTTGATTAAAAGCTCTTTTAAAGCACTTTTTTTTTTCTTTTTTTTTTTTAAATTAGATTTTGGTTAAAACTTGTGGAAGAGGTTTAATTTTAAAGAACAAAGACATGTAAGAAATGAGAAAGGACAACTGTTGGATTTGAGTTTAGTCGGAGTTTGGTTGAAACACTTGAAAGCAACAGTGGTTTCGACGCGCGCGCACAACAGATGCTCCCCAGACGTCATGACGTAACGTGACCGTTTGGCTGCAAGGATGTCATCTCTCAGATAGATAGATAGATAGATAGATAGATAGATAGATAGATAGATAGATAGATAGATAGATAGATAGATAGATAGAAATAAAGACAAAACTGTGTCACATTAAAGACTTTATTCGATAATCAATCACCTGAAAAAAGTTTATCGGCCCTTTTTCAAAATAGTTTATCTTAAATATGGAATATTCATTTTCATCAAAATATAAATTCTTGATTTAAAATATCAAGATTCTCTTTAATAGTTGCCTTTAGTTTTATTTTTTTGTGATTGTTATCAACATTTTCTAACTCGTGGACAAAGAAACACTGGAACCCAGAAAGAGACACAGAAAAGATGAATAATCGCAAAATATCTCTGTCTGCTGTGAAAACAGGAGCGACAGCAGGAAAATATGAAATATAGTTTGAATTTAAAGGCTTCTGAGAGTCAGCGTTCAAACCTGAAACTCACATTTACGCTTTTTTTTTCTTCTTTAAATCACAGAAGAACAAAACAGGGAAACAGAGAGAGATGAAAACTTCCACTTGTTAGCATCGAAAGCACGACTGAAACATTGAATATGCATTTATAACCAACCTGCGCAGACAGACAGACAGCGGTGCTTATTAATGAGTGAGGAAATATTTTATATGATCACAACAATATTCTCCTGGATAGTCGTTAACGTGAATATAAACATCAGCTGTATTAATTAGTGTTTATCTGACCTGATATTCAGCTCATTCATCATCATCAGTAGTGATTTCATTTTTAAAACATCTCATCATGATGTTGCCGCCGCCGTGCTTCACATCACGATTTAAAAAACGGATTCCTGATAAAAATAAATAATTAAAAATGTGCTGTTTTGACTCTGACTGGTTAAATGTCGCCAGTAGCAGCCAGTCAGCACGAAGAGTAAATGTTGAACAGTTCTTTATCAATTAAACAAGTAAAACATAAATTTTAAAAAAGTATTTCAACATATTGTAATATCAGAGTTTGTGTTGTTTTTATATTTTACACATTTTGACACCAAGATTCTCAGTTTTACCCGCTAACAGATCAGTCATCCATCTGCTTTTTCATCTGACTCATCAGTGAAACTTCATTAAAAGCATGATTGCAAGATTTTTTTTAAAAAAACATGAATTAACTATTTTAGAGAAACGATTTAAGTTGCAGACATTTTTCTAATGAGTTGTGTTGTCGCAATAATGCTGCAGCAACTTAATATTTTCTGTCTTTCTCCTTTTTTTCTGGATCTGAGACACATTTTGCACTAAAATACCAACAATTAGTTTTGTGCTGCCTCGCTTAAATAAAATAAATGGAATATATAATAGAAATGTGTTAAAACGTTGTTGGAATTTATGTTCTGATCTTTGTTTATCACATTTAATACTTCTTTGCCATTAAAAAAAAAAAGATTGTTGTCAGAATGAACAACAAACTAAAACATCTCTTGGATCATGTTTTTTTTTTCTTGGTTAAACTCAAACTTCTGCTTTAGATTTGATTTATTGTTTTAAAACTAAACGTAACTTCATGAAATTCACTTATTACTTCCTGAACCTTGAGCTCAGGAGTTTTAGATGTTTATGAGGATTAAATGCAAATAATTCTGATCGAAGAGGAAACTCAGATTGATGCAAACTGCTTTGTTGAGCACAAAAGTTCTTTTTTTAATCACTTATAATCAGCATTAACGCTGATGAACCCGCGCCGGTCGACTCCTGCATTAATAAGCACTCGTGTCTGATCCGCTCTAAGCTGTGCATTAGATGCATATCTGCTGCTCAGTGTTCTCATTCAGCTGCATGTTGAGGGCTGACGTGAATCTTGGACCAGCAGAGGGCAGCAGAGAGCTGCAGAGCGAAGCCACAGAACCGTCCTTCAGATCTTCACAGCAGGAGAAGTTCACAGTCCAGGAAAGTGACAGAAACATCTGGCAGCAGCAGAACAGAGACGCCGAGGCGCATCACAAGTCTGTAAAATCCCTGAATGAGCTCACGGGAGCGACAAGAACACGACAGCGACAGCAAAACTCAAACAGAACCGGCGCCTGCTTCCAGTTTGACTCGCCGGTCCCGAGCAGAACCAGAAGCTCCAAGCTGCTCGCTGGAAGGAACCCGGAGGTGAAGCTCCTCCTGGCTGGATCTCCGTTGAAACCGAGCCGAGGCTCAGCCGTGGTCGTCCAGCTCGTACAGCAGCACCGGGTGGTTCTGGTACTGGTGGAGCTGGTGGTACTGGTGGTACTGGTAGCAGGGAACCAGCCGGTACCGCTGCAGCTCCTCCAGCCCGAAGGCCGGAGAGCAGCAGTCGGTCACCAGAACCTTGACCCGCTTCCTGTCCGGGTACATCAGCCTCCTCTGGCCTTCCTCCTCCTCCTCCTCCTCCTCTTCATCGTCCTCGTCCTCCTCGTCGGCCTCCAGCTCCTCCTCCTCGTGGTGGATCTTCCTCAGCAGGTTGTTGATGAGGACGGAGCGTCGCAGGTAGACCTCAGGGTCCTCCAGGAACCTCAGCTTCTCCAGCGACAGCTTCAGGATGCAGCTGCGGTCCTCCTGCAGGATCAGGTGCTGAAGCAGAAGCAGCAGCTCGGTTATCACAGAGAAGCTCAGTGACATCACACAGGTCATACATGAAAACACTCCACCAGGAACACCAGCTCTGACCTCCGCTAGCCACTCGTCCTACCATTTTTACAAAACTCCTAAAAAACTGTGTTGAAAGTCCCCATTGAAACGGGGATTTCCAAAAGCCAGCTGTCTTCTGAAGCATGCAGCTCCATCAGAAGCTTCGGTCAAAGTTCAGACAAGTCACAAGGCTTCAGATGTTGTTCCTCTAAACCCACGTATTGATATCTTTTACGGTTTCTATGCAGTTTAGGTTTAGTGAGTCCCTCTGACACTGTTTCTGAAGGTTTTCTGCTTCTTTACGTGGAGGAGACAAAAATAAAACTACTTTAACAAATAACATATGAGAGCAGAAAATACGACGTTTTTATTGTGAATGAAAGAAGACGATGGAGTTTTCCTGTAAAAACACCAAACATTTCACATTTTTGGCCTTTTTAAAGCCACAATTTGGTGTCTTTCTCTTTAAAACATCTTGTATTTGTGGTAAAGTTTGGATGTTTGTGAGCATTTATTCCTGTTTTGTTTAAAAGAAAAGCAGCAGTTGGACCCGAACCAGCTGGAAACATGGATCCACTTCGACTTCCATCAGAGCAGGTTAAATAAAGGATCAGCTCTAAACACCAACGACAGAAAACTCTGAGCTGTTGTGTGAAGCTGAAGGACGACGAATAAAGAAAACAGTGAAGAGACGACCGGGACGAGAAAAAAAAAAAACCTTCAAAGGAAGCGACAAACACTCGAAACGCTTCTCAAGGTTCCTCAACAAAGACACTCAAACAGAAGGAGGAGGCGGGTTCGTACTTTTTGAAGATATCCACGTAGGCCTCCGTGCAGATCCTCCTCCTCCGCATACTTCCTCTTGAAGTAGGCAACTTTCGACGTCGTTGAATGGTTTGTTCTCTGCTGCAAAGAGGAAAAAAAACAAAACACTAATCTGCAGGCGTCGCTCAAACATTCAGAAGCTCTGATTTCTGAAGCGTCTGTTTCACACCATGAGCTGTTACATTCATGGTTCTGATGCTCTGAAAAGCCTCCCGCTGACCTCTGACCCCTAATTCAACCGTTTCTGTCTTCGCTGATCAGAGCTGAACTGCTCGTGGCCACCAGAGGTCCTTCTCAAATCAGCGTTAGCGTTCAGAGTGAAATGTGCGAAAAGCAAAACTTGGAACTCACACGAACCAGAAGTGAAACCGCATTTACCTGCTGCTGATGACAAACAGGCGACGTTCAGCGTCTCCGGTCCGAGTTTGAATCAGAACGTCCACGTCACATCAGAGTTCTGCAGGAACAGCAACAGCAACAAAGAGACGAAGAAGAAAACTTATGAAGTTGATTCAGTTTTCCTGCAGCGACATCTTTATAAACGTATTTACTGTCTGCTGGAGGACGTCTGAACAAAAACATTTTATTTTATTCAAATTTTTTGAAAATGTTGAAGGAAGGAAACGTGAACTACAGCTTAAATGTTCAGCTGATGACCTGAAACCAGCAGAAAGATATGAAATAATAACTGAAACTAAATGTGATAGAAATTAATGGTGGAAAAAATAAGTATGGCTAAAAGATGTTTATTTAAGAAAAGCGGGAAAATGCAAACATTCTATTAAATGATAATAATAAATTAAATAGAATAAGAAAGGAAGGTGAGAAAAGAAATACATATTTTTTAAATCTTGAAAAGCAGAAACACAAAAAAAATAAAAAGATATATTTTTAAAATATTTGTAAAATAGGATAAAAGACAAAAAAACTAAAATTAAAATTGAATGTAATAAAAAAGAAAGATAAAAAAGACATTTAAAAATAAAGGGAATGAGAATATTTTGGATTAATTAAAAAAATTTTAAAAGTAAAAGCGAGAAAAATAAAATTAAAACATATATTATAAATACTATGAAAAAAATATTAAAAATTAAAATGTTCCAAGCATAAAATGTGAGCAAATAAATAATTATTTAAATTTAAAACATATTGTGAAAAAGGGGACAAACTATGAAAAAAATATTAAAAATTAAAATGTTCCAAGCATAAAATGTGAGCAAATAAATAATTATTTAAATTTAAAATATATTGTGAAAAAGGGGACAAAAGAAAATAAATATTTACAAAATAAAAGCTTTAAAATAATAATAATAATAATAATAATAATAATTTTTTTTAAATGCTACAAAAAGAGAGGAAGAAAAATAAAGTAAATACATAAATTAAATGGAAATAAATTCTAAAATGTATAATTTAAAAACATTTAAAAAGCAGGAAAAAGAACAAAATGAAACAAAGAATAAATTTTATCTCGTCTATTATATAAAATCCAATAAATACATCTGTCTCTCTCTCTTGTGATGATTAAACCCTGACTTTAGGTCAGATTTCTGATTTTCCAGCTTCAGAGGCTGAACAGTGAAGCTGCTGTAATGTCCTGCTCTGATCCCTGATGCTGCGGTTCGGGGAGGTTCTGCTCGTGGGGGCACCGGTCCGTCAGAAACACAGAAACGCGGAGTGGGAAGATGTGACGGCTGCTGCAGTGACTCACATCCAACATCCACAGCGAAGGACGAGAGGCTGCGTGGGACGAACAAGGAGCTTCTGTTCTAGGTTCTGAGCGGGAGAACCTCCAGCGTTCTCCTGTAACTGGGTCTGGAGCAAAAAGAGACGAGCACAGGTTCAGGAAAGACTCAAAGACTGTTGATGAGGCTCCACAGAGGAACGCAGTTTAGACTAAAGAATGAATTAAATCCTGATTAATGTGAGTTCTTATTGACAATCTGCATTTTAAACCCAGATGGTTGCAGCAACACAAACAACAACAACAACAACAATCATCAAATACAACACGATAAGAGATCAAACCGGAGATTCCTGCAGCTTGTTTCTCTACTTTCAGCATTTAAACTGAATCTAACTTCACATTTTAATCCCGTTGTCTTTGTTCTGAGCGGTGTCTCGGTTGTTTCTCGGTGTAAACCTGCATGTGTTCCACCTGAACGCCGTTAAACGGAGCAGCAGCAGCCCTCTGATCACATCCTCTCACCGGTGAGCGTCACGCGGAGTCCCGATCGCTCATCAGCGTCCTCGCGGCGGCGCACAGTCGCTCCGGCTTCGGCCACGCGTCGCAGCCCGTGTCGTGGGTTCCGTGGGTTCGGACGGACGGACGGACGGACGGACTGAGGCGCTCCGAGGTTTACAGCAACAGGAGCCTCAGATCGCTGCGCTCCGATTGGTCCGCGCGGAGGCAGATGTTTCCTGTTGCTAGGAGACCGAGTGACGTGGCAGCAGCGTCCTCCAGCATCCAGAACCTGCAGAGTTCTGATTTTTTTTTTTTCTTTTTAAAGCAAGTTTTCCGCCCCCTGAGCTACAAACAGACGTTTTAGACGGTTTCATTCAGCTGAAAACAAACTGACAGCAGCTGTTGTTATTCACAGAGCAAATAAAACAGAATTTAATCTAAAGTGCTCACAAAGTTACACATTTACACAATCATATTTAATATTATTTATGACTACTTTATCCCAAACTGTGCATTATTGTATATAAGCTAAATTAACCCGACTAACTTAAATATGAAGCTAAATAAACCAACATTGGAATGTATAAGACAAAGCCACCTGATTAACAACACTACAGTGTTATATAAAATATAAAATTTACATGGCTAATGTAAACGTTCAGATACAACAGTACAATACAATCTATCATTCCAATTTACCTGAGTCAATTAGGAACTAAAGTTAAGATGGCATAGTACTACATAAAACACATGTTTACACAGCTAACTGAAATATCTACATATTTAAATAAATGTAAATAGTACTAATTTAACCAAATTAGACCATATAAAATGAATAAACATGTACATTTATGTCACTTAAATTCTAAAGTTCAGACCCTACAATATAACTGATAAAACTAATGAACCTTGTTGGCTTAAATATAAACGTTACGACACTATAACAATAGAAACTTTGCACATTTACTGAACTAATCTGAATATTAATGTGAAGACCAAAGAATGAATATTATTCATTGTGCAATTTACCCGAGTTCTCCCCGTGCAGCGTGGGTTCTCTCCGGGTTCTCCGGCTTCCTCCCACAGTCCAGAAACATGCTGAGGTTAATTGGTGATTCTAAATTGTCCGTAGGTGTGAATGTGAGTGTGCTTGGTTGTCTGTCTCTAAGTGTAGCCCTGTGATAGACTGGTGACCTGTCCAGGTGAACCTGCCTTCACCCTGAGTCAGCTGGGATAGACTCCAGCCCCCCATGACCCTGGTGAGGATTAAGGTGGAGAGATGATGGACGGATGGATAGATGGATTTACCCGACTAAATTAAATATTGAGGTTAAGATCTGACGATATTCTTCATGGGAAACCCAATGAACAGTTGGTTCAGAAGGTCGGTCGGGTTGGTTTTGTCACCCAACAGGTCAACCAATCACGGTGGTAACCAGTCGCCTTCCCCCGCCAGAGGTGGGTCACATGAGCAGTTTGGTTGCATTTAAAGCAAATTGCTTGATCGACAATTTCTGCAATCTGCTGAAACAAGTTTCCGCTGTAGGGTGGAAAGACTCAACCTCTGAGGTGATGACATCTGAGTCCACCAGCTGAGGTGGTCCAACGTCTGATCAGGAAACATCTAGGGTGCTTTCCTGTGGACGTTTTCGGTACAAGACCTGAGGATAGATATGGGATAGAACAGGATTATACGTCTCACCTGGCCCGGGAACACCTGAGGATTGTTCGGAGAAACTGAAAATGTTGTCGGGGAGATGGACGACAATCAGCACCAACAAGACCAAAAATGGATATTTCAACACGTCCTTCCTGAGAAGAACGCCTCGACGATATCTGAATAATGTTAAAAGGTTTCACACTTATCAACGCCTGTCAGTAGGTCTTCCAGTGTCACAGCAGTGAGTAACAGCAATTTGAAAAGGTTCAGGGACACCAGCGACGTCAAACAGGTCTAAAAAGGTTGGACGCTAACTCATACAGGTGTGGTGACTTCTATAGACGACGTTTTTAAAGCCGTACATGAGCCGATGTCGTACAGGTCGTGTTTTAGTCACAAGCTTCTCTCACACATTTCCAGAAACTAGAAGACGTTTCCTTTAAATGAAAGCTGCACTTCAGCCTTAACTGCTCCTCAGTCATAACGTTTAACTGTAGATATACCAAAAAAAACCCTTAAACAGGTGTCGATGTAAGGTGGAAGCTTCCTTCATGAACGAAAGGATGAAGGTTCCAGCGTACATGAACTTCCCATTTAAACATCATAATGCAGAAGAACCTCAACTTCTACAACTCAGAAAACAGTTAAGGGACAAAACGAGATGCTTGAGTTTGAAGTTTTAAAGCAATATTTCCAATAAAAAGACTGTCTAGGGGGTAAAATATGCAGAATACGTATATAAATATGTAGAAATACTAATACTATATTATAGTAATTAAGTCCGTCTAAATTGGAACATCACAGAGGTGCTGTATTTGAACACCGGGAAGTTTCAAAGCAAAGTAAACAAAGAATAAACCAAACAGCTAATAAACAAGCTGCAGATCTGTTAGTCGGTAAAATCTGAGGCATCTGTTCCCAAAGATTAAAGGGATGAACTCCTCCAAAACACTTAAAAAACACACGAGATACTTTCCCTAATCTCTAATCCACGTCGTGGGATTTCATGCCAGTGTTTAGGACAAAGACTTAAACCTGGAAATCTCCCCCTCGACTCGCCGGGTGGTGTTTGTGTTGTTTTCTCGCCACAAAAGCCTCATTTTGAAAATGAGGAGCTCGGCGAGGAGACGAGATTCCAGAGAGCAGATGGCAAACAGACGCAACCACGGCAGGGATCTTCTGGCTTTTATTGGCAACGACAAAACTTGGTACAAAAAGTGCTTTCTGGGTGCCGTGGTGCTCGGCATGCAGGAACCGGACCAGGGCTGCAGGACCGCTCAGGACCAATGGGTTTGTCTGGAGACTCAGACAGTCTCATCTGTGGGCTTCGATTTAGCCGTTAGATTTACTTTGAACTGCAGCTGCTTCAAAACACACTAACTTTGACTTTATGTTGCATCCCTGCCTCAGAGAAATACCATTTAGTTGCTAAACATTAGCTTAGCTGCGCAACATACTGAGGTGGTTGGGGTGGATGGAGGGTGAGCAAAGCCTGCCCACTCCCACCAGGTCTGTGGTAGGCTTAGGCAACAAAAGCAGTCAGGTTAAGGTTAGAAAACACTGTGGTTATGATTCATTGTAAACAAACACGGTGTGTCTCAAGTCATTGTGGACTTTTTCAGTGTTGAACCAGACCGCGACTTTTCTCTAACCTTAACCAAGAGCCGCCAGCGCCTGAACATCACCACGAAACTGGTTAACTTTGCTGTACGCTTACAAAAAATACAGCAGAAATCAATCAATAACTTCAAATATTCAGAATAAAAACACTGAGAAAGAGACATTTCTTAAGACTAGCTAATGGGAAGAAGCTAACTGGACTAATGAGACTTCTGACCCCACTCCTCTTTGTAGGCTTAACTCAAGACTTGAACTTCTGTAGTGTACTTTTAAAGCCAGAGACAAAATGTTCACAGTAAAAAAGCAGCTGCAGAGAGTTCCCAACCAACTCCCGGGGCTAACGCTAACTAGCCTAGAGAAAAATTTTCACATAATTGGAAATTCCTAATTCCTTTAAATTGCACTTTAACGTATTTAATGAAGTGAACCTACATTTGCTCATGGGTTAAAAAATGAACTTTTATTCAGTTTAAGATCTGTTTGTTGGCGTTTTTGGTTTTGACAGCGATTTGACTTGACCCCTTCCTGGATCCGGCCCGACTTCAGCCCTGGTCCAGGCCTCGTGAACAAACCTCCCAACGCATGCAGTCCGACAGCAGCATTCACAGGGAACAACAAGAAGGCTTCATGCAAATTTATATCGTCTCTGCGACATGGTGGATATGTTTCATCTCAAAATGTTACAGGCACTTCATCAGTATTACAACTGTATTACATCTGCAGCACAATCTGATTGTCTCACATCTGTAATACAAACCTGGGATCCTGGACGGAGCATGCAGATCTGTAAATACAATCCTGGGAAATATTCAAGAACATTAAACATTTACTATTTTAAAAAATAGAATAGATATGGTAGATTTTGTACAACAACTTAACATGCATAAAATAGATCCATCTGTGCAGTAAATACAGCTCATGTCACTACTACACTTACAAGTATGAAGCCGGTAGAATAGGAGTGCTGATATCAGTCTGGTGACGGGTAGAAAGAAAACTTAACCTTAACACCAATAAATTCATTTAAGGACAAACTGCACGACTTCCCCCCAAACCCTGTAGAAACACAACAAAACTGCTTTGGAGTTTGTTGAGGTCACTTTTTTTTTTTAAGACACATATTTCCGAGCTAGCTAAATTACAAAGACGAATCAGACTGTTTGCTAAACGTCTCGTCAAATCGCAGCTAATCAACAACCGACACCTGCAAGGTTCTGGTAATTTCAACATGGTACTTGAGGATTTATGGTATTTTTTTCTTTTCCACACTAAAAACAAAAGGCGCAAAACTGAAAGAATTTAATTAAAATGAGTGTTTACTGGCACTGACATCATGCTAACGTTAGCATCTTGTCAGTATAGTATCGTGCCACACAAAACAGCTAATGAGCAAATTTCCGTATCTTCTACAGCGAGTGACGATGCTAAAATCTGACCAGATTCATGCTAGCAACAACCCTTTCAGAGCTAAGTTAGCTAATATCATGATTTCAGCCACTGTACGCATATTTAAGACACTTTGACAGGTTTCAAATTTTTTCTTACTGCTAAAATATTAACATGAAAATAGCAGCTGCAAAGACTTTCCAACAACTTGTGGGGCTAACGCTAATTAGCTTGTATGCTACAGATAATAAAGTCTGTCAGTGACGGTTGTCGTTTTAGCTGTTCAAAAAAGTATTCTTTTGTCTGGAAATCCCAATCAGCTTTTAAAAAAATTTTAAAAAACGACTATTAGTTTTGAATATTGACAAAAACTGAGAGAAAAAGGAACTGATGAAAAGCTAACCGAACAGTAGCTATGAGGATTCATTAGTTTTTGTAACTCAAAACTACATTACTTTGGTTGTTTTTTAAGCAGTACAGTGTTTTTATACCGCTGAAGACAAAATATGAAAGTAAAAAAGCAGCTGCACAGAGTTTCTAATCAACTCGTGGGGCTCGTGTTGATGAGCTAGCTAGCTGGCTAGTTGTCAGTGACCATCATTTCAACAGTTGGTTGTGAAAAATGTCTAAATGTGTCTGGAAATCACTGTTAAGTTTTGGAAATTGACTATCAACTTCAAATATTAAATAAAAACACTGAGAAAGAAAAAATTTGCTAGACAAGCTAATGAAAAAGAAGCTAACAGGGCGAATGGGACTTTGTAAGCTTAACTCAAGACGTTTCTTGCCAGTTTGTAGGGCTAATGTCAACTAGTTAGCATGGTGAAGCTCATTAAATCTGTCAGTGACCATTGTCACTTCAACAGCAGCTTCAAAAAAAAAACTTCTTTTGTGCGAAATAATGGTCAAATTTTTAAAAATGTCTTAATTTTAAATATGCCCCCCTAAAAAAACCCAAAACGCTAACCAGGCTAATGTCGCTCCTGGCTCCATCTTTGTTGGGTTTAACTCAAACTACATTATGTTGGTCTTTGTGTACGATGATGCTCTTATACAAAATAAGAAGCTTTAAAGCTGCAGCACTCCTATTAGCTTCATTTACACCTGAAACAGCCGTCACTACACATCTGCAGTTTACAACACCTACAGCTTAGTTTCCGCTTTTCACAGATACAAAATGAGTCCATCAGTTGTGCCCCTTAACCTTTATACTAGAAAACAACAACAACAACAACAAAACCAAAAACTCATCTTTCTGCTGCTGGAAGTTTCCCTGAATACACAATAAATCGTGGAAGAAACAGAAACTGTTCGAATCATCTGAGTTGTCTCGACAAACACTTGTGTGATTCAAACACCTCATAAAACTAGCTGAAGTATAAAGCGAGTCGTTTTAACGTTTAATAGCTAAGTTTGACCACGTGGAACAACATTACAGATATGAACGATGTGGCTTTGACTGGTCACAACTTTTATTCCAGATATCTACAACATCATTCTGACCAGCTGGTACCACAGTTTGGGATTTCTGTAATTCAGTTTTGACTGGTCAGAATACTAATTCTGGTATCTAAAGCATCGTGACGACTGGTCTGAGTTGTTGTGCATGGCTGGATGTTGTTGTGTGAAGCATCTGAACAGCAATGCGGTGGATAAGATGATTGGAAAACGCTATGAAACAGAAGAATGTCATCGGCATAGAGTTTGAGGAGAACGACTAGAAACTCACTCGAACTTCGGATTGATTTGACATGGAGGTGAAATGGCGATTGTGGTCACGAAAGAAAGCTGCTAGAAATAACTGTAGCGTAATTTCAACGAGTCAAAACTCTACTTCGAGATATCCGAAGTTACGTTTCAAATGGTCACCATTACAGTTCAAGATATCCGCAACATAATTCTGACAAAGCGGAAGCTAATTTACGAGATTCCATATTGAAGATAGAGGTACAAAAGCCAATTAGAGGAATTCTGTGAGACATGCTAATGGAAAAGAAGCTAACCAGGCTAATGGTTTCACTCAAAACCACTTTATTTTGCTGTTTAATCTGTTCTTGCGCAAAATATTCATAGTTATATCCTTTAGATGCCCAGTGAAACTTTAGAGCTAATACCTGGATTAATTCAAAGATATCTTAAACTAGAATTATGACCAGTATGAATTAAATGGTGGAAGTCTGAAGCTGTAATTACAAATAGTCTGGATTTACACTGCAAGTTGCACTTTTTGACGATTTAAATTATGAATATGTGCAATACACATCCAGCCTAGAGATTAAATGTTAAAACAGTTTGACGAGTGCAACGGTGAGGATGAAGGTTTAGCGGTGAAGGACCTGAATCTGACTTATCACACGCTAGCGTCTCCTTGTAGCCTCAAAACTTCTTGCATCTTGCGAATTTCGTCACCTTCCCAAAGAAAACAAACGCTGCTGTAAACACGTCTGAACCCCCCGAGGGTTCGGATCTGCAGGATCTGTCGACACAAACAGGTTTAATCCCCCTCTGGGCTGAACTGCAGCCTTCAGACGGGAAGAGGATGAGCGTTAGCGTCATCACACTGTACAGCTGTAACTACCAATTACCAGCAAAGGAGAGAGAGAGGGGAGGAAAAAAAAAACACACTTCCAGGGTAATTCATCGCATGTTATTAACAGCTGCAGCGAGATATTTAAAGCCTCTTTTCAGCTCAGCGTTGATGGGTGTTGAAATGAGCTTTGGCCCGCTGAAGGAGGCCGAGTTGAGGCCAAATCACACGGTGGAGCGCTGATGAGGCTCATCCCGGCGCGCTGAGAGTCTCCAGCTGCTGGGCTTCCTGCATGTAGTGGCACCAGAATATGAATGAGCTCTGCATATGAATGAGGCGCCTTCCTCCCCCCAAGACTCTCAGCTCCGACTCCCCGGCCGGATTCTGTTACAGTAATTCAGATATATATACAAACGCTGTAAAACACAACTGATATCTAGATGTAACACTGCCTGTTGTGTAAACGCACGATTCTGTTTCTGTTACTTTACTGGAGTTGAAGCTGAGTTTTGTGTAAACCTTAGTCTTGTTTCTTTTGTTTAAACGTGTTTTTCTTTGAAATTAAACATCCATTTAAACATAACGAGACCCGTTTTGTTTCAGTTTTCACTTTGAACAGTCGGTTTTTTATTCAAAATCAGGAACAATGTGGATGTCAGGTGTATCGTTTCACTTGTCTGCCTGGCTTTCCACTGACTTTGTTAAATTACACATCACTGGCTGCGTGGTTTTCATTATTATAAAGGAAAAAACAACCAGGGATGACCGATGTAGGCAGGTGTTAACGGACGTGAATCAGTCCATTTTTCTTTTTTAAATGTCTGCTGGGATGTAGGTGTCATTGCTTTGGTTGATTTTAAAGTGCAACATTTCCAATTAATAACTGATTAATGTATTAATGTCTTTGGGCCCACTGCTCGCTAAACTCCTCTTCAGCTAATCTACAATGTCTGCCTCGGAGTATCATCTCAGAAAATGCTATCAGCAGATACTGAATATTGAGAGACTTGGATCCTTGATGAACAACCAGAAGTTTCCATCACATCAATTTTCTTCAAACTACAAAAAAAAGGTCTACAGAGAGAGTTTTCAGTTTGCTTAGACACTGGATTTGTTGCTTATAAAACATAATTTAATAAAATGAGGTGAACTCTCAGCAGCATATTTATTCAACTCATATTTCTGAAATGAAAACGAGGCATTTGTAGTTGAAATTAGTAAGAAAAAGATATTTAAATGAAGCTCTAATAAAGATCAGCTGAATAATTATCTGCTAATCTCTTATTTTCCGTTAGTTTTAGAGTTAAATTATTCCACATACATTTCCAATTATTATTATTTTTAAAATAAATCTAAATTTGTATTTTCTGCATCTTTTAGTGTTCAAAAAGCACTTTCGCACATCAGACTGCTTCAGTCCTGTGACCTTTTGTTTATTTTTCCTTTTTAATTTTTCACCGAACCTTTTTAATTGTTAATCTCTTTTAAATATTGCATTAGCTCGGGGAGCACCATCAGAAATCCGTTGTGTTGTTTTTGCACAGCAGCACGACGACAGTAAAGACTCTTCGGCTTTCTAATCAGGTTTCGTGACTTCCTCTAGCTTTGGGAAGCGATTCACCGACTGAGTGCCGACGTTCGTTCTCGAACTCAGCATGAGTTCGATTATCTGCTTTTGTTGTCGCGTAACACCGAAGATCTCCAGTAAATCCAGATTAATTAGGCTTTTTTGGGCGGATTAGCTCTCCAACAGTGGCTCCAAATCCCCAAATTACAGCCACAGACTCCCAACGAATCAGCTGTCTGCTTCAGTTTTTGTCAGATTATTATTCATAGATTATTATTATAGAAACTAAACAAATCAGTCGCTAGTTTGGTGGCTGAAGCCCAAACGGAATCCGTGGAGATCGATAGATTACAAAACAGAAATATATTTGGGTGCACTCAGTTCAACCAGACTGTGAGCAGTGAATAAAGCTGGTATCTGCACAGTGTAAACCTTAATTATCAGCAGCTCTGTGACTTTTTACTCACTTCAAATCAAAACAAAGCTTGAACTTTTGGTTTGGTGACATAATTACTCAGTAAATTAACAAACTGTGATATTATTCAAAAAAATGATCTAAACCTCGATGTGCCCTCTTCACACTGCTGGCTTTTCTTACTGTTCAACTGCAGATGTGTGCTTTTAACCATCACAAAGACTCTTTCAGCCCTTGGCAGGACGTAATCTCATTATATAAACTGGGAAAATGCAGGAAGGGATGGACGGACTGGTGTGCTCTGAGGGCGGAATGTAAATGAAGAAGACCACCGATAAACTGTGGTCACATGCAGCCATTTGTACTTCTGTAAACTTTGTGTTTTGTTTTTGTTTTTGTTCTTGTGTCTTTTGTTGCCGACAGAGAGTGAACCATGAAGGACGATGAGATGGAGGAAACATTCCCAGTTCAGCGTCGACATATGAAATCCAAACGCTTTTGTTCCCGACGGGATGTGATGCTGATATTTCGCTCGGTTTTCTTCTCTGTGGTTGAGTTTCCACCGATTCTCCATCCAGAATGGCCAAAAACTAGAAATAATAATCCGTCCACACACACCTTCAAGTCCTTTCTAACTCGAGAAAACAAAAAGTGCAGCAGGGAGGACAAACTAAACTAAATCAAGCTAACGCCTCGTTTCCACGCAGCTCTGCTAGCTGCCCGTAACTCTGTGTATTATAGTGTTGAGTGAAAGAAAACGTAACTAAGAAGCTAATTTGATCAGTTTAGCGCTGTTTAGTTTTGAACTATGGAGCATTTACGGGACAAAAACTGTACGTTGCGCAGCGAGTGTGTGTTAAACGAGCTAAACTAGCTTCTTTTTATTTCCAACGACAGGTTTCCAAACTGTGCTGAAGGCAAAGATCTCCAATCTGCAGCGGTTTGGAGAGGCTGACCGTGTGTACGAGTGTATTGAGCTAGAACCAGACAGTTTCACCACAAACGTCCACAAAGGTTTGCTGCAGCTTCAGTGGAAACAAGACTTTGACTTTGAACTAGTGTTTCAGAAGTTAAACGTGGTGTTTAAGAGCAACTAATGTTATGTGACCGTTGGTTCCGTCGTTTCTACGTTGTTTTCTACATAAGCAGCCGGTAGCACTGCGTTGCTAGCTCCTCATTGGCACAAAGTCTTCGCTACTTCATGCAAATCAACTGGACACCTCTAGAAACTACCGAAAGACTTTAAAACTGACCATTGTTGATGTAAATTTAAGACAGATATAGGAGCTCTAAATGTTGGTAGAAACACTTTTTTGGTGAAAAGTTTCCAAACAAGGTGCCACGTTGGTCCAGTTTGAAATTCACGAGTCACATGTGAAGCGTTCGTCCAATCAGGTGCAGCCAAAGTTTGCATAGTTGCAGGAGGGTGAAGCCTGTATCAATCGTGTATTGCTGTCAGCCCATATCACGTCCACTGTTGGGAAGAAGCACAACCCTGACCCTAAAAACGCCGCCGTGGTCACCATAACTCTTCTACAACAGCTGCAGACTAGAGTTTTGGGGTTCAAGAAGTCTGCACAATATTAACATCTAGAAAACGACTGGCGCAAAACCATCAGCAGTAGGTCACCAGCTGCAACAAAATGTGGTTCACGTTAATAAAAATCGACTGTGACTGACCGTCAACGCAGTCAACCAACTAACTAGCATCTTAGCTAATTCGTTAGCTCTGAAATCCAAAAAAGATCAAAATTTTAAGGCAAAACCTTTCCTAGAAAACTAAACATGAAAGGCGGAGGTTCGTAAACGTCTGAGATCATGGATTTCCACTTTACTTGCACACAGTGCTACGTGGAAACGAGGCGTAGAGGATCTTGTTTGACATTTCTGTGAGCTCTTATTGGTGGATGAATTTATGCTTCATGCTGACACAAACTAACCAGCTGGGTTTGATGTTCTTCCAGGTTTTGATGGACGTATCGATGGTTCTGGAATCCTTGAAACCTCGTGCATGGTCCTCACCAATGAAGCCTTTTCTTTCATCTCCAGTTTCCTAACTAAACAACCTTTAAAATAGAAGAAAAAAACACTAAATCCTGTTGGTCTTGGGCGTTACGCCTCCAGCAGGACGTGCCAGCGGCAGACCTGCTGTCCTCGACTTTCCTTCATGTCCTGCCAGTGCAGCTGCTCCTCCTCGCCGCTGCTGTTCTGGCCCAAAGCGATCCATCCCACCATCTCTTTGCGCTTCATGCTGCGCCGGTTGTAGATGGACACCAGCAGTGTGACGTCCGACAGCTGGAACAGCGCCACCTGGAAGACGAACGTCTCCTTGTAGACAGGGTTCGGTTGGCCGCGACGCACCGACGTCTTGCAGCGAGAGATCTCCTGACCAACCGAGTTCAGCAGGGTCAGCCGCCCGTAAGTGTCTGGACCAGAAACACAGGGATGAAAAGTGAGTTGGTAATCTAATAGAAACTGTTGTATTCATAGTGCTTTACATTTTTACATGGTTCCAGGAGAGTGCTGCAGGAGCACTGGGAGCAGACCAACACTGCACACGGAGAATACTCAGACAAGGAGGGCAGCCAAGTTTAATTCAGGTGCAGTTTTTGATTTATGTTTTTATGATGACCCTTTGTATCTCATTAGAAAGTCATTTTTGGGGGTATTTGGATTTGTAGTTGAAAAAACAAGACACATTTTGCCTTTTAAAGTTGTAAAGGAGATACTCTGATGTTTTGTCATAGAAGTCATAATAATCAGATGAATGAATAATTAAAGTAATCATCGACTGCAACAGGTTTTTTTTACTAAAATTGGGGGTAAATATGGCACATCGCTGTTTTAGATTTTTTTTTTTTAAATGGCATCTAAGTCTTCAAAATTCTTAAAAAGTGAATTTGCATTGCTAATCAGTAAGTTTATCTCATTTAATCTTGTTTTTTTTGAAAATCTGTTCAACAGAAACACATTTTGTGGGTACTTCAAAACATTGAGCAGCGTCAGTAATAAACAGGCTTTATATTTTTTCCTAGATCTGATTGCTAGCTTCTAATTATGACTCCCACATGTATAAAGGCTCTTCTTCTTAACGAAACTGGTCAGAAATCCTGTCATGAAGCAGAAGTAAAGCTCCTCCATAGCAGACCTGGAGGCCTGTTGATGGCCAGGTTTCTGAAGTGGCTTCCCTTGATGAGCTCCACAGACATCCGTCCCGTGGTGGCGTTGTAGGAGAGACCCACCAGCAGCTCGGGGACGCCGCCATGGGTCAAAGACTGAGTGGACGAAGCGCTGTCGCTCTGAGACACAGCAGACAGACTGAGCTGGGAGTCGACACTCTGAGGACGAAAACAAACATCATCCGAGTCGTCTGGACAAACACTCAGTCAGACACTTTCTGAACGCTAGCTGAAGTGCACAGCAAACATTTAACACAGCACAGCAGGGTTTGACTACACAGGGTTTTTTTTTTCTTTCAGTTAGTTCCACAGATAGAGGAGATTCATTGTTCCCCTAAACTGTTTTAACAGGATTAGCAGAAGTAACAGCAGTGGCTTCAGTGGATGAGACGGTTATAAAATGCCCCAAAAATGAAAGGTGTCATCGGCATAGAGTTTGAGAGGAACAAGAGCAGTTGTTATCGCAGTGGTGCAGTCTGTTTGTAAAGAAAACTCCTTCCCACTTCTGTAGCTTCTAACATAACCGCAAATATCTGCACTGCTGTTTTACAAAGTATAACTCTAAGACATCTGTAGAAATCCAGTCTAAAAAAGAAATGAAATAGAAAGAAGTCATCAGCGAAGAATTTGTGGCGAACCAGAGCTTCGTTCATCATCACTGAGGTAGAATTTTACGAGAACTTCATCCTCAGACTGCTCTGATATGTTTGTTGTATTTTTGAGAAGTGAGCTGCCCCCCACTTGCCGTAGATCAACAAGACTACATCTATCTGCACCGCCATTTCAAAAATCTAAAACTATTGAGACTTTGAGAATCTATGACATCATTCTGACGAAATTTACGAGATCCAAATCCAAAAAGGACAGCATGGACATCTTGAACTGAAGGGAACTGAATATATCTTGAACTTGAACTATGACTAATCAGAAACAAAGGTAGATATCTAAAACTGGGATTACAACAAAGTCAGAGTTTAACTACATCTATACACACTTACTAGTCTTGGCGTCACTGCTCCGACTCACCTTGAGGTTACTTCGAGGCTCCAGAACCAGCGTCGTCTCCATCGTCCCTCCATCCGGGTCGAGCCCTCCCAAACGCAGAACCTTCTCGCCCATCATCCTCTCCCGGGACATCCTTCCCCCGAGGGCGTACAGCCGGAACCGGACGGCCGACATCTGCAGGTCGGACGGTTCCAGGCGCGAGAAGCGAAACGTCTCGTTGAAGTGCGGCAGCGACCCCCTCTGGACCGACGTCTTGTGGCGCTGCTTCTTGGACGGCAGCAGGACCATGTGAACTTGCCACGAGTCCATGCCGCTGCGAGCCTTGTCGGGGATGTCCCGGGCTGCCACCACCGAGACCAGCAGCTTCTCCGAGTCCGGGTGGTACTCCAGAGACAGGACCAGGTCTCCACATTTAGAGATGGGGGTCCGAGGGGAGGAACAGACTGGCTGGGTCGAGACCTCGTCTTGGGGAGGCTGCTCTTGCTGGAGAGGTAGGAAGAAAAAAATTAACTAAATATTGTCCATTTTACGTATTTCTTGGCGAGGAACAGTTGCCAGAAAACTAGCTAGTTGTGGCTCCCGCGCAAGGACTAGTCCTGCACATAAACCTCAATAGAACATTAAATTGTATTTTTTGAACTTTGGTTTCCATATTGATTAAACCAGCCTTTTCTAAGGTTTTCTACTAATCAGAGGGTAAAAGCAGAAGGTACAGAAACTAACTATATAGTGGAACCAGGTGGTCTTGTCATTGAATCCCAAAAATGGCAGCAGGTAGCATTTTAACAACAAATACAACCAACTAGACCTGTGCAGGGACATCGAATATGGTTTCCATGTCGAGTAAATAGTATTAAGACAGTAGTGGTAGTTCTGTGGTAGCAATATACTTATTTCTATATAATTATCGAGCTAATTTTCTTTCAACATTTTGTAAAGAACGCAAAAAAAAAAAAAAAACGCAAATTTGGCTAGCGTCTGTTAACTGCTTTGAAGTGAATGACCTAGGCTGTGTAGTGTCGTCAGAAGGTGGCGCTAGAGGCTACATGGCTGAAGTAAGCAAATTAAAAAAACCCAAAAAAGAAAACCAGTTGTTTGGTATCCGCTAAAAAACCTGAAAGAAGAACAAACAAGCAAAACTTTGTTGATTTACGAGACAAAAAACAGGAGAAAAGTTATAACCGTTCTTTCATGCTAGCTGGTATGAAACGTGTTTCGTAACATTCGTAGATGAAGATAGCGGAAGAAAGAATTAAAGAGTTAAATGTCCACGACACCAGAACTTAATCAGAAAAGCTGTTTACGGCTCCAATGAAGCTAAGTTAAAAAAAAAAAAACTAAAAAAAAAAAGTTAAAAACCAACTCAAGCGAGAAGCATTTTCACGAAATTGTGGAGGTTTTTTTTTTTTTTTTTAAATTTTTTTCCATTAACTTTTTCTAATGCAATACTGGAAATGTCATTTAATCCCACATGAGCTGGATCAGATGTTTGATAGCTAATAAACATCTTATTCTGTTATACTACCATTACTGGCTAAACTACAGTTTTCATTGACGAACATCTCACTTCCTACTCGGACAATGTAAACGCCAAAGCTGTATTTTGACTACATATCAGAATCAATCGAGAAATAACCTGCGACTATTTTGAATCTCACTTTAGTGTCTTTCCACCGTCTTGAGGATTTCCTGCTTTTCCTGGTCTTACGTGGTGCGATTAAAAGGTTCTGGGACTGTTTGTGTTGCGGATGCATGGAGGGTGTCACGGCTCCAAGCATGTATATGATTTCACCATGGAGCTCAAACCTCAACAGGGCACATTTTGTGTCCGGCCGAAGATGAAATTCGAGTTAAAGGGCCGTAGTTTTGACACAGTTACAGAGATTCAGCTCATCGTAGACTGTGCTTTTTACATAACAGGACTTCCAGGCGCTGCAGGAGCACTGGGAGCAGAGCAACGCTGCACGAGAAACTAATTATGTTGGAAATTTGGACTTATGGTCAAACAAAACAAGACATCTGAAGATGTGACATTCAGCTCTTCAAAGCTGTCGTGTTAAATTTTGATGTTTCATTATCATTAAGTCATAATAATCAGAATAATAAATAATCACATTTTCAATTCAGTTGTATCTAAATAGCTGCAGTTCACAACGTATGACATCTCATAGTGCTGTAGGTGAAAAGAAACTCAACAAATCCAAAGTAGTAATGACAATAATGGTCACGTCTAACCATTTGTAGTTTGATCTTTTAGTGAATATGCCAACTGCAGCCAATGGAGTCTAGTTGTGACCAGTTTTTGACTAAAATATGTTTAAACATGGCAGGTTGCTGCACTAGAGTGAAGAAAAATGACTTGAAAAAGGTTAAATTGCATATAAGTAAGTTTAAATTTAGTTTAATCTGAAGCCTACAGAAGCATGTCAATCATAAACAACCTTTATGTTTCCTCTGGATCTAATCATCAGCTTCTACTTTTAAGGGGTTTCCTGGTTTTCTGTTTGTAAATTATGATTCCTGCACGTTCAAAGAGTCTTTTTCTGAGAGGAACTGGTCAGAAATCCTGTCATGAAGCAGACATAAACCTCCTCCTCCTCCTCCTCCTCCTCCCTTCAGCAAACACAACATCGATTGTGTCGAGTGTTGACAGAGCGGCCGAGTGTCGCCGTCGACATGGCAACCGCAGAGGTGATAATATAATCAGAGAGCCGCCGTCGCCGCCGCCACCGCCGCCACCGCCGGAGAGAATCGAACCCGCAGGTCGAAGAAAAAACACCCAACAGACGCTCAGCTGATGAGGATGTTTACTGAACAGTTCTAGTGCAGCAGCAGCAGCATCACTGCATCACTGGACGTATAAGTCGGGCTGATGGAGGTTTGTTCTGGGAGATAAACACTGTAAACCCGAATCATGGGGCCAGAAACAATACGATAAAAATGATGGAACACATATGGTTCAAAAACTGTAAAATCTGGTGAGAATAATAGCACATATCTGTAAAGTACTGATTTTTTTTAAAATAAATTTTTAGCTCATTTAAAGTCAATAAAACAGGTTAAACATAGTAAACTAACAAATTAGTGTTTGCAAAAAAAAACAGATTAATACTGTGGACATTATTAGTAGTTTTGTTTTTTCACAGCTAACATACAAGTTAATACATTTTATAATATATTATCTGTAATTTGAAAAAATACTATTTACAGGCAACAGCACTTAAAAACATTAAATTAAAATCAGGAAAAAATCCACAAAATCTGGCAGCAATATGTTAAAAAAAATGTAGAATACTGTAACTTTCAAAAACTGGGGGGAAAAAATGCTTAAATAACAGCAAATATCTGCTAAACCAGTGTAATTGTAATTGTTACATATTGTAGAAGAACAAAAATACTATTTGTAAAAATAAAAGAACTTTTATTTGGAAAATATTTACAATGTTGGCCTCGTTTTGTCACAGTTGACCTGCAAATTAATCCCTTTTATCTGTAAACTAGCAGTTAAAAACAGAATTATCGTTTTCAATCCTTAATATACATACTTTTTCTTTCAAATAACGGAAAATATCTGTAAAATAATGACTTTTTTGGCTGATTTAAGTACTGTTAAACAAAAAAGGGTGTAATTTTACAGTTAAACATGTCAATAGGAAAAATGACCATAACTATATATGAACATTATTACTATTATTTTTTACCAGTCAACAGTAAACCTTTCTTTCTTTGTGGTTCTACTAGATATTATCAGCACTTTAACAAAATGCGGAAAATGTGTAAAACAACAGATTAAAAAACATTAAATGGTCAAAATAGTTTTAATAAAAATATTTGGAAATAAATAAAATAATAATACTTTTGTTATTTTTTATGCTCTTTGCACCGTACAAAGGATAAACATGTAACGATGCAACGACAATAAAAGCATTTGCAAATATGTCAATAAATAAATCATTTAAAACGAGAAAAAGAGAATAAAATAGAAGGAATCCTGTAAAAGCAAGTATATAAAAATGGTTTCCAGTGGTGATTTAAAGCTGACGCTGATTCTGGAGTCCTGTATATATATATATATAGTGAAAATATATATATAATATATATATATTTATTGTGTGTATATTTCCATTGTGAAATGGATTTTACTGGATTATAATATTTATCGTGTATTATAGTCCAGTAAAATCCATTTCATATATCTTGTGTTGAGTTTTAATGCCTAATATGTAAATTACACACTATAAATAAACACGACAGGGTTTAGACCTCAATATTTACACTTGTGAATTCAATCATAGTTTAGTGGAAAACACTCTGATGTTTAAAATGTGACCCACAGTGTGTAGAACACAGCAGCAGCAGCAGCAGCAGCAGCATTGTTATTATTATTAGCAGCAGTAGTACGAAGCCTCGGCCTGTTATATAACCATATAAATAAACTACAACACGACTCTCTGGAGCTCCACTGAACTGATCCAACCTCGTTTCTTATTTATGAAGCGTTTCTGGTGTGTGTGTGTTCTCGTGTGTGTGTGTGTGTGTGTGTGTGTGTGTGTGTGTGTGTGTGTGTGTGTGTGTGTGTGTGTAGGAGGTGTTTACAGCACAGATTGCTCCCAATTTCAAAGTGCGATTCGGTGATGGAGACGTTGTTAGATTCTCTCCTACGAGCTCAAACACAAACACACTTGCGGAAACACAAACGCACACTTTGTTTACACACAAACACACACAGCGGTGAATATTCATGAGCTTCTGCTTGTTGGCCGAAATATCAGCTATTTATGCAAAACCTCGAGTGTGTGTGTTTGGTTCGTTTCTTCCAAATCGAACCTGAGCCGACGGTAATCCTCTCACGTTTCAGTGATGATGATGCCGCCGCCGTGCATGATGGGCGACAGCAGGGCCGCAGTCAGCTAATCCCACCATCAGCGTGTTTATTTACTAAGTTTTTGCTTTTTGTGACAGGAAAGTGTGAAATGTTGTTGTTGTTTTTTATAAAATTAGAAAACCCTCAGTTTTAGTTGTTGTACAGACATGCAATGGAACAAATTAACCTTATTACTCTTTTGCTTGTGACCTTCTCGTTAGTTTAAACGAGTCGACAACACGGCACTAAAGTCAGACTTAAAGAAAGTCATACTTTCGCATTTCGTGATGATTAAATCTTATTTTTCGTCATCAAACGCATTATGTTTTACCCCTTTCCACTCCGGAGGTCCTGAGTGGTGAAGCCAGTTTGACAAATCCAGGCTTTCTTTGTGTAAGCCGGCTTAACAAAACCCAAAGCCCCAGTCAAAGATAATGATGGTTGTCAACTTTTTTTGTTGATCTTTGCTTTTAGTGTGATCTTGGATGTGGGATTAGCTAATCCTGACATTTAGTGAAGAATAAGACGCTTTAAACAGCGCTAACGCTTGAAAATGCAAACAACGATATGGTAAGGGGTTAAAAGAGCATTTTATATTTTACACAGTAATGGTATTTTTATTGTGAAATGTTGATTTGATTGATTGTGTAGACGTGTTTTTAAATGCGGGGCTGTAGTACCTCGGGGCTCCAGGTGGAGGAGCTGTCCGTGGCCTCGTTTTTGTCGAGGTCCACAGCCTTCTCCGTGTCCTCGCTGCCGTCGGCTGCCTGCCGGTTCATGCTTGGGGTCGGACTGTCTCTGGCGGCCGAAGCCTCGACTCCGGCGGCGGGTTTGTCCAGAGAGATCGCAGAGGCTCTTTCGCTCTCCGCCACCGCCGCCGACAGCGGATCCTGGAAGCCCTGCCGATTCTGAGCCTCCATTTCTGCAAGAAGACAAAGAAGGTTTAAAACCTGTGGGTGGAAGGACGGCGAGGTGTAATTTCCACCCAGGGGATGGATTTGAACTTTTCAGAATTCTATTTGCGTCTCACTTCTATATTTTGGTGCAGTTAGTAAAAGCCTGCTGAAGCATCCAAATCCAGAAGGGAGAAGTTCATGGAAATGTTGAGTTTGGTTCTTATTGTGCACTCACAGCAGCAAAGCTTTACAGGCAACATGGAGACGTTTCATGACATTTTTTTTGCCCTGGATTTTGACTCTCAGGCAACACTTCACTACTTCTTGGTTGAAGGAGAATCTTCGGACGCATTTAGATGTTTTGTGTTTGTCTCTTGAATAGGACTTGGAAATATAACAATATGGAGCAATGTCTGTGAAGATTTTCAGTCATCCAGGTCATGGTTATTCTGGTCGATTATTCGTAGCAAATGGACTTGCTTGAGTTCCTTGAAGGTGTTCCACCTCTCATCCAAGAGGCTTCATCAGTTCTGACTGACAAGTTGGGAGTTCCAGATACTTATATCCTTAAGGAGTGTTCCCATTGTTGGCAGAGGGAGCACTAACGACTCACATAAGGAAGGGGAGGAGCAACAAACCCCCAAGTGAAACCAAAACTCAGGCGTTAATGTCTCCTTAAGGATTAAAGTATCTGGAACCCCCTTCTAGTCAGTCAGAGCTGATGAAGCCTCTTGGATGAGAGGTGAAACATCTTCAAGGAACTCAAGCAGTTGCTACGATTAATCTACGAGAATATGAAGCAATACGTCCTGGTAATGGACTCCCTAATCAACAGCAACAGGAAAACAGTGCAAACTCTACAAACCTAAATGTCCTTAGCCATGAAACTGAATCTGAAGTTGCTCCCAAAAGCAACTTAAGTACCAATAAAGTGGAAAAGTGGAGTATAAGTGAAGACCGTTAACCACAATGAAGCCGATTCCCCTTCGTTGGCTTCTGTACAGATCATGATAATGATAAATAACGGCTACCATCAAGAGAAGAAACAGCAGACTGGACATCGAGTGTCAAGTCATGGGCACCAGCAGTATGCTTGAGGTTTTCTTCAACATTCAGGCTGTTGTGCAACATGAACTAGTGCCTCAGTTTTGGACCGTCCTGAGGTGTCTGAGGAAGAACATTCGACTTAAACTGTGGATCAACGCCATGTGATTGCTCCAGTGTGTCATGGTGTCGTGGTTACGCACAAACTATACACTTCACTTTTCAGATTTGTCTCCCTTTGGCTTTTTCTTTTCGCCAAAATGAAATTCCCGTTGAAGGGTTGCCACACTGACAAAGTTTATGAGGACTTGTTTTCATGACTGGACTGCTGTCAGTGCTGCAGGAGCACTGGGAGCAGAGCAGCGCTGCACAAGGCCATGTTTAAACCAGGAGGGGTTTTTGATTTTCATAAGCAGCCTTTTCAATCACGCCTCCTAGCAACAACATCGGAACACTGAACGTAATTTTGTCATCATTTCTAGATCATATATTTAGAATACCATGGTGTGGAGCTTTGTTATTACATTAGTGGGGTGGTTCTAGATGGATGGTGGCCCTGTGGGGAGTCAGCCTTAATAATTAGTGTTAACGACAGTTAAAGCAGTGATTTGTATAATTAGTTATGGGGTCTACTCCCTAATGTGGGTGTATCTTGGGTATAATCACACGCTGGAGCTTGACTGCAGTGTTTAGTCTGTTGGGTTTGTTCGATGGTGGTTTCTTCTGTTTTCCATATACTGTATAAAATCACAGAGGATTTAAATATTTTATCTTGTTCATGCTGTATGTTTGCGATCTTGTTCATTTGACATGATTGTGGAGCTCTTTGTAGACGTGTTTCAACAGGTGATATGCAAATAAATGTGTAATTATCATTATTATATAACAAAAGGCACTAACATTAACGTAAATTGTTGGTTTTCTTATAAGCAAACGCTACAAATACATCCGTCCTCAGCGCCTGACGAGTGTTTTCTCTGGTATATCGTCTAATTTAGCCTCAGAGATCCAAAAGCAGCTTCCTAAACCTTGTTTAGCGGCGCTGTGTGTTAACTGAGGAGATATTGTGCAATCTGTCAAACCTTGGCCTTTTCCCGACGCAGGAAAACGCTCTGAGAACAAGCCGTACCTCAGACCAATCAATAGCAATTATCTCCAATTCTCCGTCATTAAGGTCGGTCTGACTGTTATATCAATGGCTGCATAGAGAGTTCGCCATGGCAACAGGCTGAGGTGAGTCACCGGTGTGTGTGTGTGTTACCTCGTGCATGGCGGGTTATGTCACCGCACGGCTCACATGTTGGTTAAAGATGGAAGATATATAATAGGAGTTGAGGCGGAGTGACCTCGACCGAACAGCGCCGCCGCCCACCGCCGCCAGCTGCTCGCTTTAAACTGGAGGTTTGTTTGTTGCTTGCGGTGTTTAATGCTGCTTGTTTCCAACGTTCGTGGCGAACAGCTCATCGTGTTTGGACGACTGTTAACCACGCCGCCGCTGACAGAATCACCAGAGTTCTGCTGTCACTTCCTGTCGCTATCAGAGACTCTTTATCAACCACTTTAACAGGTGTGAAAGGCAGGGTATCTTAAAACATTTTTTTAAAAATCGCAGAAATGGCACCATTTATCAGCCAGAAACTTTTAAAATACAAAAAAAAAACAGTCGGACTTCAACTTTCCAGCGGTTCTCAAACCACTCACCTGTGACGTGCTTTCAGTTGTAAAAATTCACCAAATCTCAGCTTGAAATTATTTGATTAAAAAAAAAAGAAAGAAAAAAAGCTCTATTATTCTCAATGCCTCGTTTAAAAATTCAACAAAATTAACCGTTTGCAATTAATAAATTTGGGCTGCAAGGTGTCTTGGTGGTTAGAATCATTGCCTCGCAGCTAGAAGGTCGCCGGCTCGCGTCCTGGTGAGGACGTAGAGTCTCCATGTTCTCCCTGTGCAGCGTGGGTTCTCTCCGGGTTCAGCCTTTCACGCTATTAAATTGTCTCCAACCTGCTTTTTCGTGAACACTGCCTGCAGTTCAACTGAAAAGTCGCTGAATTTTGGTCACTTAACTGTTGGACACAGCAGAGTTAATCATGGATTCACAGGGAACAAGTGTGCTGGACCTTCTGTTTTTTACAGAATTTAGTAAATCCATCCATCCATCATCTCTACACCTTAATCCTCACCAGGGTCATGGGGGGCTGGAGTCTATCCCAGCTGACTCAGGGTGAAGGCAGGTTCACCTGGACAGGTCACCAGTCTATCACAGGGCTACACTTAGAGACAGACAACCAAGCACACTCACATTCACACCTATGGACAATTTAGAATCACCAATTAACCTCAGCATGTTTCTGGACTGTGGGAGGAAGCCGGAGAACCCGGAGAGAACCCACGCTGCACGGGGAGAACATGGAGACTCCACGCAGAAAGATACCGGGTGTCCTCACCGGGACGCGAACTGGGGACCTTCCAGCTGCAAGGCGACGATGCTAACCACCGAGCCACATGCAGCCCACAATAAACAATTTGCAGTAATTTCATTCTATAAAAACTTCTTGTTGGTATCATGAAGCCATCAGGGACTTAGCTGTGACCAACAGTGAGGTGACGAAACTTCTGATTTCATAATGTTCAGGTGAACTGCAGGCAGTGTTTACAAAGAGCAGACAGGAGACAAGGATGGAAACTAAACTCCAGTACTAACAGTAAAAAAAAAAACCCATAACACATCTAGTATTGGACATGATGATTCCAGGTTTCTTCGGGAAATTTTAGTAAATGAAATCCTTAAATAAACGTAATTATTTGGATTTTTTAAATGATTTGTTGGATTCTGACTGTAGTTCTTCATGTGTTTCCACAGAGCTGCAGGACTTTATAGTGCAGCGAACAATGAACCTACATTGAGGGAAAATGTGGGTAAAAAACATTTTAAAAATCTGCATGTTTGACTTTTCTGTCCAGATTAGGTTGAACTGATGAGTGTGTGGACAGCAGCGGGTTGATTTGTTGGGTCACCGTCGGACACTAAAGGCTCTGCGCGGTTCCGGTTTAGACGATAATCCAGATTATGTTTTACTGGATGTTCAGGATTTTCATTAATCACAATATTTAGGAAGAAAAGTCCAGGAACTGCATGTATGATAAGCCGTGTTTCCGCTAAATATCGAGAATAAATGACTGCATTTACAGGAAATAATTCATGTTTTCTGGGTTTAATTACTTTATTTGAACCATTAACTGGTGCCACAACAACAGACACATGTTAAAGTAAAAGCTGAATAGATATGGTCTGATTTGTTTTCTGCTTCCTAAAACACAGCTCGTCCTGCCTCTCTGAGCCTCTAATCTGCAGTAAAAACAGCATTTAGGCCATTTGTTGGCGATTTTGCACCGACACAGATTATCTTTCTGGCTCTAATGGAGCTTCATGAGTCTTTGGCGGCGACAAAACTATTAAATCTCACTGATGTGAAAACATCGAGCCGGTTGGAAGCTACCTGCCGAGTGAAAACGGGCTGGTGTGAAGAACGTGAAGCATTTAGCAGCCAAAGAAAACAACATCCGAGTCGAGTCCAGGAAGCTGCAGCGACACTCAAGTTTGCTAACAGACACTTGCAACAGGATGCTTTGATTGTGAAGTAACCTGCTGAACTCTGTTGGTCCGGTATGGCTGTTTCTACTGCAGGAACATTTGAAAGCAGCACAAAGCTTTTCTGCATGTTGCAACCATGAGAACCGTAAAGGAAGAATGTAGCTTAGAAATCTAGCTTTCGTCTACCTCCTGATTATTTATGACTTTTCCCATTTTTATTTAGGGAATATTTTGTCTGTATGATGTGTGACAGATAAAACACTCACAGGAAGGTGGAGCACATTTTAAATTAAACTGTTCAACTTTCACAACAATTCTATCCCGACCAATAAAGGTTTATTTTCGGTTCTTTACCTTCGCAGTCCGACGGCTCGGTGCTGCCCTCCTCCTGGTCCGACAGTCGGGTAAACTTGTGCCGTCGACCCAACGCCAGCTGCTGATGATGCTGCTGCTGTTCACCACCACCGGCCGCCGCCGCCGCCGCCGTCCGGAAGCTCTGCGAGCGCGACACCGAGATCTCAAACTGCTTCAGGACCTCGTCTTCGCTGTCGGAGGAGCTGCTAGCGTCGTCGTCGTCGTCGCCGTAGCTGTTCACTGTCGGAGGGAAAACACAGGGAAACACAGGAACTGACAACCGGGAAGAGCTGGGAGAGTTCAGGAGAGGAGAGAAAACAAATGTTTAAATCATCACCATTCACCTGAACGACAGATTAAACGCTTTGTTCACGGCTTGACTGAGTGTTGAACGGATGAAAAGTTCCATCTTTGAGCTTCAATTCACAAAAAAAATGATAACGCAAAAGTCAGCTGGTGATATTTTCTAAACCACATGTAGCTGCAGGTCACAATAACACAAAACTAAACATGTAGAACATTAAATACTTTGGCACAAAAATGAAAATGTTATTTCACAGTTACGATATGCAGACAACTCTATTTTTAAAAATATTCCATCTCAAATCATCAGGTTTCTTCTGCTCGACTTTGATTAATCATAAACTCGGGGTATTTAAAATGGTATCTGTGAAATTTTAGATTAATATTGCAATAATTTTGAAAACAAGCGTCATTTTTAGCACTTTTTTTTCGCACATTGAAATTTGAGGCTGTTTGAACAGCAATATCTCAGAAACTATTAAAGATAAAAACCTGAAATTTTTATCACTATTTCTCAATATGTGACTTATTGAGAATCTGTAATATTGGATTAAATATTCTCTCATTATTGGTGAGTTGAAATATGACTAGAATGGAAAAAAGTTATGAAAGGTTCCATCTTTGAGTTCAAATTGACATAAAAACTGTTAATCCAGAAGTCAACTAGTGATCTTTTCTGAACCACATGTAGCTGCAGGTCACAATAACACAAAACTAAACATGTAGAATAGTTTAATATGAAAAACTTGGCCACAAAAATGGAAAGAAAGTTGTTTTTGTTTAACTTTCATCACTACAATTTGCAGACGACACTCAACTCTCTGTTTCTTGTTATTCCATCTCCAACCATCAGGCTCCTTCTGCTCTCACAATCATTTCTTAAATTAATAATAAAGTACAGAAATTTAAATTTGAGTGTGTGAAATTTCAGCTTCATATGGCAAATACCTTCCAAGATAATTTATTTTTTAACCGCCTGTTGAGTCACTGTCAGCAGTTTTTTTTCTCACATTGAAATTTGTTTTAACATCTCAGGAACTATTAAAGATAAAAACCTGAAACTTTCACTGTTTATTCTCATCGTGTCGTTGATTTCGATGCAAACCGGTGAACTTCTAGCTGCGAGGCGACGATGCTAACCACCGAGCCACCTTGCAGCCCCATACAGAAGTCAACTAAAAATGTTTTCTGAACCACATGCAGCTGCAGGTCACCATAACACAAATCTAAACATGTAGAATACTTTTTAATATCACAAAAACAGACAAAAAAGTTGTTTTCATTGAATTTTCATGACTACATTTTGCAGATGACACCCAACTCTACTTTTCTCTGCAATCTGAACTAACATGAAATTAAGGCCTTGTCCAAACATAGCAGGGTTTTTATAAAACCAAATATCCTCCCCCCTACACAAACGCAATCCATCCACACCTAACCGCATAAGTGTGTCGTTAAGCACATTCATAAACTGCCAAACCTCTAGGTGGCAGTAGTTCCCCACATCCTATCCAATCAGGGTGGACAGGATTTTTAAAATAACCGTCTTAACGTCGTCCTTCTCCTGTGTTCTTGTACATGGAGCAGTATCTGGGTCTGGACCAGAGACGACACCAGCACAGGTCTGAGGGCGTCCACGCTGTTTCCAAATGTAAACACAGGTCGCACATGTGACATAAGAACATGTTTAGCCGCAGGCAGTGAAACCTAAAACCCGGTTATTGACGTCCACATGCAAGCGCATGAACGGAGGATTCGCAGATCTTCACTTTGGTCGGATGTTTTTGAAAGAATCGTTTTTAATGCTGTAAATCTGAGCTTTCGTGTGGATGACAAATCGTAGAAAAGTATCTTGGTTTTGTGAGACACCCTGCTACGTGTGGACAAGACCAAAATGAGGACAGAACTACATTTATTGGGGCTGATTTAAAGAGAAACAGACGTTTACGTGGCTCCAATGAAACTTTTGCAGGTTGAATCAGTTGCATCGGACGGTAGAAGAAGACTTACATTTAAGAAAGAGCTGTTACCTTTAGATAGAACTTTTTTAATTCAATCAAAGCAAACTGCTGCTCAAACACAGGTTTTAAACATCCCAGAAGGCAGCTGCTGAATGCATCAGTCTTTTTCTTCTAATTTCGTCGGTTTCCACTATAAATAACCAGAAACTGCAGGTGAAACGCTGCGCATAATAAACAGAGAAGTGAAACTCAGTGGCGTCACTTCCCTCCTTGATCCTTCTGGCTTCACTGGGTATTTATTTGCTGTGCAGAGGCGGCTGTCGGTGATCTCTCCGCAACAACGTCGCAAAATAAATCCACCTCTTCTTCATCTCATCGCTCTCAGGACGCTCAGATAAAAACACTCTGCAACGTTCTGGCAACGAGGGGAAGATGAATCGGCGCAGCTTCCAACAGGTTGTAGCAGGTGACGGAGGAACGGAGCAGCAGAATCACTGACGCGTGGAGCTGCTATGATGTTAGAACGTTGGCATCAAGAAACCTGCAGCTCCAGAAAACAGCTCAATGGTTTAACTCCACGTTTCAGTTCAACAGAGTTTGTTTGTGACATGTTCAGCAGTTACTCTGATCAGAAACAGCCCATCCTGCTCGATATCCATTTTTTTAAATTATTCTTTTCAACCACGATTCAAAAGCAACGTCTTCTTTCACTACATTATAATTTAGCAAATTTTTATTTATTATTACTTTTTCCAGTTTCTAGTTATTTAATACATTTTTAAAAATCGTAATTAATCAATTATTTGTAATTAAACAAAAAATTGTTATATATCAAAACAGGGACCATCTGAAAAGTTATGGTGCATTATTTTAAAAATTAGAGTTAAAATGGTTTAGAAAGTCTTTTTTACTGTGCACAGTGAATGTTGGCTTCAGTATATTACAGCAGAGTCTAGTTAAAGTATTAAACACTGAACCTAAATACTGTTGAAGTCAGTTCTACTTGTAGTTTTACAGTAAAATCTGTTCAGTTGGAGCCCATGAAGGTGAACAGGCGACAGTTTCAGGTAAAAACGGAGCTAAAACTGACCTGGTCTCCTTTGTTTCTAGTAAACTGACATTCAGCTCTTTTCCACTCAGGAGTGAAGCCGACGTCCGACCTGCTGCTGCTGCTGAGCCGCAGAACGTCACCGACCGACTCCGAGCAGGAAGTTTGTTTTCACCTGGAGCACCTGAAGCTCCACCTGCTCAGTGTTTGTTCACCGTCTGGTAAAGTTAAAAACACCTCCCAACAGAATAACTGAGCAGGTTTACTGTTCTCTGGCTGTAGCAGGATGGAAGGAAGGAAGGAAGGAAGGAAGGAAGGAAGGAAGGAAGGAAGGAAGGAAGGAAGGAAGGAAGGAAACAAACAATAGAAGGAAGGGAAAGAAGAACGCATGAAAAAAGGAGGGAAGGAAGGAAGGAATAAAGAAGGAAGAAAGGAAGGATGGATGGGAGGAAGGAAGGAAGGAAGGAAAGGAAAAAACAAAGAAGGAAGGAAAGGAGGGAAGGAAAAGAAGAAGTAAGGAAGGAAGGGAGGGAGGGAGGCAGAAAGGAAGGAAAGAAAGACGGAAGGAGAGCAAAGAAGAAGGAAGGAAAAGAAGAAGGAAGGAATATTCACAAAGGATGAACCACTTCCAACAAAGAAAATGTCAACTAGTCGCCTGTAACTCGGTTTATTGATCCTGGAAGAAGCTTTACTCTTGTTTTATATTATTATTATTTTTCGACCAATAAACTGGTTTTTGTGGAGTAACTTGGTGAACCTCTTCCGCCAGTGATTCAAACTCAATGAAAATTAACTTTCTTTACATTTTTGTGACAGTATTTTGTTTTTCTACATTTATTTTCTTCTGTAATTTTACATTCTGTCTGTTCATATTTATTCATTGTTTTCTTTCCATATTGATTTCTGTATTCACTTGTTGATTATTCTTGTATTTCTACATTTATTTCTGTTTTTTCCATACTCACTGATATATTTCCACATTTATTGCAGTTTTTCTACATTTATTTCTTTCCATACTGACTTCTATATTTTAAACACATTTATTTATGTATTTCTACATTTCTGTCTTTCTATATTTATTTAATTAAATACTTTTCGATCATTAACTATGGATATTTGAAATGGTACTTGTTAAAATATATATATATATTTTTCCATGTATCTCAGGAGCTATTAAAGATTAAAACCTCAAATCTTCGCTGTCATTTCTCACCATGATGTGTGAAATCAGAGGTTTTTTAAATCTATGTTTTATTCCAGCTGAGCACATTGTGTATTCAGCCTGATAACGTTCAGGTCGTGAACTTTGACACGGTGACGTTTCCTTCAGACGCTGCACAAAGTAAAACCCTGGAAGTCGACCTGCGGGAACTTTGCTTTGGGTGTTTCAGTGTTTGACAAGTGGGAGGAAAGAACAAGTCGAAGCGGTGACGACACCAGAGAACAGAAGCTACAACCAGGATTCTTCTTCAAGGTTTCGTGGTGTTAATGTTTCTGCCGGTATGTGAATGACTCACAGACAAAGTCGCCCACAGAAATCACAAACACAAACTCTCCCACTGCTGCAGGTTGTGTAACTGACGGACCTTCAAATTAAAAGCACCGTTGTGTAAGGACACAATCTCTGCAGTCAAGACAATAAAACCTGTGAGCTGCGAACGTATCGGACATTTAAAACAGTCAAATAAACGGAACCACTAAAAACAGCGTATGTAATGTGTGTTTCTATGTTTTAAAATCTGACTCACTGATGTGATGCTTTAAATGTAAAAAATACAGTTTGAGACTTCAGGAAGGAAAGAAGGAAACAAACAATAAGGAAGGAAGGAAGGAAGGAAGGAAGGAAGGTGGGAGGGAGGAAGGAAGGAGAGAATAAGGAAGGAAGGAAAGAAGGAAGGAAGGAAGGACGGAAGGAGGGAGGAAGGAGT